GTTAAAAAATTTTTTTAACAGAAAATAAATAATTTACTTGTTCATAAAAAAAAAATCATAATTATTTCCTTCTTTTTTTGGAAATTAATTAAAATAGAGTATCATTTTCAATGAAATACATAAATAAAAAAAATCATTTAAAAATATATTATATTAAAAATTAACATGTAATACTTGTTTACACAAGCTAAAGATATCCAAGTAGAACTAATTCGACATCTTCTGCAGATTCAATGATAATTACTTAGATGGTGAATAAGACTCTAAAAAAAACTATTTATTATTAAAAAAAATTTTGACTCGTAAAAATGCAATGTTATTATTATTATTATTATTATGTAAGCAAAAAAATTGAAATTGAAAATCCCCCGGATTAACCTTGTGATTTCTTTTAATTAAATTATACAACAGGATAAAAAATTTAAGTTTCTTAGAATTATTATATTAAAAAATGGTTTCTTTTTTCAGATCTTTTGCAATCCGTCAGAGGGGCGAAAAAAACTTGAAATGATAAATATGTCAATTGACTATTTAATCTCTTTTTCAAATAAACAAAGGAAAAAACCATCCAGATATTATTAACATCAAAAAGAAAATACAAATAAAAATGTTTTAACAATCATATTTTAAATATCGCAAAATAAATAAATTAAAACACGTTACAACTATCGTTCATGTTTACCAATATCATCTAAAAGAATATTAACTACATCCATTCGTTCGTGTTATTATATTTCTGTTTATACATACTACCAATATGTTAATCGGTGATTTTCTATTGAGATAAATAACTAGTCGTTGATGAAATGAAGGAAAAGGAGGACAATGTAGAAGGTGAAGAATTTAATAAAATTAAATATATTTATTAATAAATGAATTTCCTAGTTCTCTTCTTTGTTTTTTATCTAAAATAAAGCCAAGTGTTGAAAATAATTTAAAATTAATTTTTGGCGTTTGTACTACAAAACATTACTGCAATAAAAAAATTATTTTCGCGTTTTGGATCTATTATTACTATCAAAAAAAATTAAAAAAATAAAAAATGCACAAAAGAGCAATCCATCGAAAAGATCACAAAACTGAACGAATATATAAGTAAGCATTATTAAAGAACTAGAGCAAGAAAAAAAACACTCTTTGTAATGTTGTTAACTTAATACTTACAAATAAACTTTGCTTTTCTTCATTGCTTAGTGATGACAATCGTGTTGACGAGATCGAAGCAAATAGTGTGGTCCCACAAGCCTTCGGAGAAGTTTTGTTGGTAATTATTATGATAAATACCATACATCCAATTAATTACTCATAATACTTTTAAATTAATAAATCATTGATTATATTTAAAGGGCCCACTTCTTTATATCCATCAAACAAAAGTAAGGAAGTTTGCAAAAGTAAAGAGACTTACAACCAAACACCAAACAAAGGCAAGGAGAAAGTTTATAATGAGCCAACAACACTTTACTATGCCTTCCATGCTAGCGGTATTGAAAAGACTCAAGAAGTTGTTGGATTTAGATGTGTGTGGTGTGATACTTTAGTGTTTAGAGATATTGATTGTTTAATGCTTCATCTACAAAGTTTTCATCATCATTTTGAATATATTATGAAAGTAAGTGAATTAAAATAAATAAAACAATTCAATATTTTTTTTAATCAATGTAACTTTTTTTTTATAGCAAAAAAATCAAACAACCATTACTCTTCATAGAAATTATAAAAATTCTGATAATGAATTTTTTATGTTTAAAGTTGATGAAGCCCATGTCCCAAAATTATTTGCTCATCAAGAAAGGATTATTTTGCCATCACCACCATCACCACCATTGTCTTCAACAGAATTTACATCAGGAGATTTTGTGAATTCTTGTACGTTTGCTCCATTCACTGCAGATAATGATATAATTGCTGAAAATAATGCTTGTAAACATTGGACTGAACAACAAAATGATGAGGTTTGAAAAAAAAAATCAATCATTATATTTGGAAAAATCAATCAATTTTTTCCGTATAAAAATAAAAATGAAAATAAAATTTTTTTAGGAAATAGATGCGACAGGAGATATCGCAGATGGTGCCAAACTTTTAATGAAATCGTGGTGTAGATTTGTGAATCAAGAAAGGTAAAATATTGTATTTTGATATATGTCAGTTAATCAGCATCTTGCTTTAACTGGAATCTTTTTTCTTTATTAAAAAAAAATATTTAAAATTTGAATTTATTTTAATTTCAATTTCAATTTCAAATATATACAGTAATTCTCTTTGTGAATCTAATTTTCCAGACTTTTGTAGAAGATTTGCAACGGCACATGCAGCTCAGATTCTAAAACTTGATCTTAGACAAATCTTTGCAAGGCAATTACTTGCCTTCTGCGAAAATGGATCACTTGATAAGTATTGCCTGGTTGATTTTTTAAGGATTATTGATGATCACAATGTAGAAGTTTAGTCAAAGTGTATATATACTTTATAAAAATTTTACTAGTTGTTTAGGAAATTAATAAGCATATACGGTGCGCAGATTAAGCTTAGATGGCGGATAAGGTTTGGCTTGTCAAACAATATAGTGTTATTATTATGGTTATGGTTATGGTTATCATGTAAAAAGTGATTTGTAAAACTTGATCGATTAAAACAAATTATTTTAATGTCTAAATATATGTTGTACGTGAAAATAAAATTATGTGAATTCGTAATTCACATATGTGAAATTCAAATTTACATGTGTGAAATTCAAATTAGCCAATCAGAATTTCACCCCACTCCATAATATTTCAATTTCACATACAACATATATATAGATTAATTTTCGACCTTTAAAATTTCTTATCAGATTAAATTAAGATATTGTATGAAAAATTGTTCTTTTTTCAGATCAAGTGAGATCTCTCATAGAAAGATCAATTCTGCATTGAAACTCCATTCGAAATGGTGAAAGTGATAATCAACTATTTGGTTTCTTTCTCTGGTAAAAAAAACCAAAGAGATAATGAAAATCCTGAGAATACAAAATTCTTGGATGAATATCTTAAGAGATCTTTCCAGGTAAAACTTTTTCAAACAGAAGTTATTTCACGCATGTTATTCTTCCTCGTTATTATTATGAAAATCAACCATTTGGGCGACAATTCAATTTATTTGATAACAGTCAAGAATTGACCTTGCAAATGAGGAAATTTTAATATTCAAAAAATATTGATTTTATATCTTTTTAGTCAATGGTAATAATGCACTTGGTCAACTTTCTTCCTTTCTCGCTATCAATGTTAATCCTTTTGACATTATTTATTTTCTATTATAACAACTACTCGCAAAACCCAAATTTTATTTAGGTTAAATACACAGTAAACGTTTATTAAGGTGTACAGTTTTATAAAAGTCCAGAGACGATGAATTTCTACGGCGAAATCTGCGGCGGTCATACCAAGAATCTGTGACGTTTAAAAATATTATTTCTTTCTACCTATTTTACTTGTAGTTCTGCTTAATTCTGCTATAGAATCTTATTTTATTTAATCAAAAATAGCTAAAACAGTTAATAAAAAAAAAAAAAAGAATAAAAACAAATAATTCTTATTCGAATTGCTAATAGAAAAAAAATAATACATCAATCACTATTGCTATTATTCTCATTTATAACAATTACACAGTAAACCTTGGTTTTGGGTAATTTGAAAACTTTATTCAAAAATCTGTTATATCAATGTCAGAAGAGTTTTACTATTATGATGATTAATAATATTATTATTATTGAACCAATCAAGATCCGTTAAATCGAGGTATTCTGAATCGAAAACTACGACTATTATTATCACAAATACTATGAATAGAAGAAAAAATAGAACCGACAAAGAAATTTTTTAATCGGATTGTACATATTATTCGTTTTATTCGAATAAAAACCCTAATAATAGTAGTTATACCAATTAGGATATACCATCAATAAAATATTCTTAAACTATTATTTAGTCGTTAGCATCAATTCAGAAATTATATTCTTCGGCATTCGTTATTATATAGCAACTTTCATCAAATTTAATACATTATTTATTTCAAGTATTATTGTAAATCTCAATGTTAAAGTTATTTTTTGCCTAAGGTTCGCATAACAGATTGTCATATTAATTAATATATGTCCAGCCTATGTCCATTTAGGCGTGTCTTTTTATATTGGAGTTTATTTATTTTAAATGAAATGCCAAACTTTTTTGTGTCTTCAAATAAATAGTGAACAATTGGATCGTTAACAACCTAAAAATATTGTCTTTTGCTGAAATCCATGAATTGCAATGCTATTGACTACATACATAAATCTTTGACAACATCTAACAGAAAATATTAATATTAAAAAACTACAAAATGAATATATTGTTATATACAAGCGCATATCTGAGATTTTCCAATACCAAACCCTACATTTACCCATCCTTCGTTAGTTTTCAGTATACGTCGCAGCTAAAAAAATTTTATATAACTACTTAAGGTGTCCCACAAAGTAATATAGTAAATAAATATAAAAGGGCTCCTAGCTAATAATTAAAAACGTTGACCAAACTATTAATCATTAGTAAAGGTCACGGAACAACGGCTTTGCCTCTTTAGCAACTATCCAACAAAATTGTAAAGATAACAACATATTTTAATGACTAATTCTGAAGGTCTAGACATTTCTGTCTCTAATAGCAAAAATACCTTTTCATTAGAACAGGAATGATTTATATTATATGGGGATAATCCTATTACTATTACTGTGTATTTTACAATTGTGATGTTAAACAATATTTGACCCTGAAATTTCTTTGTAATAATAATGTTGCCCAAATATTAATATTAATATTAATATTAATATGTAGTAAGATGTGGATATTTTTTACGCTAGCCAATTGATGACAATTTGTTTCATCAAGTAAATTTTCTCTTTTCACTCACTCAAAAAAAAGTACTGGAGTAGGACAAAAGGATTCTTGAAGCAAGAAAACAAATTATTATTCGATATTTTGAATTAGTCAGGATTACACGTGAATATTAGTATGCTGATTTACAAATCTTTAAGCAATTCTTCACTAGAAGGTGATTCTAATTGATCCTATTATATATATATAACAAACATTAATAATAGTGATTGCTAATTTATTAAGCAATTATTGTTTTCTTACTTGTTTTATATAATAAACATATTGTTTTCCATAGGGTTTACAATTAATTTCATTTTTTTCAACAAGTGAATTTAAAACCTTTTGTGCAACGGTTTTTGTGACAGCTCCACGAATAAATATTATTATTGATATTAATGTTATTATTAATGTATTAATGTTAATATCAATGTCATTATTAAAAATTTAGACATTCCAATTCTTTATGGCTTACTGGCACTATATGGACGATTTTGTTTTCTCAAATATTCCATGACCATTTGTTCAGCTAAAATCATTAAAACCGAATTTAAATTTTATGATTTTAATTTTCAGCTCTCATAATAATAATAAAATACCATCATCGCCTTTGGCAGCTGGTACTTTCTTTTGTTTTACCATTTTGTTAAAATAATATTGAACGCGTAAAAATTTTTTCTTTGTCGAATAATTTATATTAATAAACTTTTTGATTTGGTGATGTCATTGTTAATGACGATTTCTTTTTTTTACAAAAAAACAAACGTGGCAAATCATGTGACTGTTATTTTATAAAAAAAATAATTTGCATATAACGAATAGTTTGGGAAATTTTCGAGAAATACGTTATATCAAGAAGGTTTTTATTAAAGTTAATTATGGAAACTTCATCCGTTAAACCGAGATTCTTAATTCGTATCCGCTAAACCGTGATTCAATGTGTAAAAGGAAAGACCACAAAAAGAACATTAACTTAGTGATTCCGATCCCATTAAAATTCATATGCATGTATATATACAAAATTAATTTTTTTCTTCTCCAGGAAAACTTTATGCGTCTGATTGCGTTTTTAAAATTTTTATTGCCGTTCAAAGGATCGCCAATTAACAACTTCTTCACTTGCCGAAATTTTTTTTTTTTTTGTCGTCAAGACAAACAAATTTAATTAAATATGGTTCAATGTTCTACCCAACAAAATATCAACCAATCTCTCGTCCAAGCTTAATAAAGCTTGTTCACTCATAAACATAAAGCAGCTTAATATTAAACTTCAGGGAATTTTCATCGTCCTCTTCCCTTGTTACATTTTTAGATAACAATGTTTTCAGATGGATTTACATATTTCTCTTTACAATTTTTTTTTGTTTAATTTTAATTGAACTAAAGATAGTTTTAAATAAACTAGACTCCGAATTTGTTGAAAGAAATGTTCCTGGCTGATAATAAAGAAACAAATTTAAAAATTTTCACCTGATAACATGTTCAAATAAAATAAATAAATAAATCTTGGATATCTATATATCTAAATTTAAATACATGAAAATGTACTTTATATATATTAATATGAAAATTTCAAGAGTAATATTTATTTTTCTCGGAAATACATTTATGTATTTTTTTTAAGATATTGAGATTTGTTTTATAACGGAAAATAAAAAAATTATTTTAGCACTAAGGTATTAATAATACAAAATCGTCAATAGTATAAATTTAATGAGTTGTATTTTTTTTTTTCACCTTATATAAATTAAATAACATTACAATATAAAACTCAGTTTATAAACCGAATCAATTCTCCAATTGATCAATACCTTTATTGTTATTAATAGAATCAAATGTTTATTAATTAGTTAAATGCGAATAAAAAAGGTTATTAGTAATAATAATTAATGTGTAATAATTAGTAATGAATGAAAAATTAATTTACCTTTGTTTAAGAGAAAGAATTAAAATCAAGATCATTTAATGAACTGTCATTACTTGTATATATTTTTAAGCCTTTTGATTTAGCAATTTCATCATTTAATATTCTACTTATATGGTATGCACCTGGATGTGGTCTATATAATTGTTGTGAACTACTACTACTAGTATTACTATTATTATTATCATTATTATTAAGAATTGCTTCATGTTTATCTACAGCAAATGGCCAAAGCTCATTAATAGTTGGTCTTTTTGATGGATCCACATCCCAACATTTCTGCATCATTTTTGCATAATCATCAGGCATTTCAGGTAATATTGGTGGACGTAAACCTTCACATATGTCAAAAATTAAATGATGATCATGAGCTCTATTGTCAAATGGTGGATGGCCTGCAAATATTTCCCACATTAACATCCCAATGCTGTAAATATCTGTTTCTTTTGTGTTCTTTGTATTATTTGTGCCTCTAAGTAACTCAGGTGCAATATATGATATAATCCCATATGTTTTATTTGATGACTTTTTATCAATTGGTCCACATAATCCCAAATCTGTAATATAACAGGCACCTCCTTGCAATAATATATTACCACTATGTAAATCACAATGAATTAAATCTTTTTCATGTATAAAATATAATGCAACACATAACCATCTGAAAATTGCAATTCTATTTTTTAATGTCAAATTAGAATGGTTTTTTCGTAAATAATCCCTTAAATTTCCTTCTGGTAAATATGCTATAACTATTGCATAATTTCCATTATCTGGGAATTTTGTTATACCATAGCAATTAACAATCCTCATTGATTTAATTTTACAATAATTCATTGCCTGTAATTAAATAAAAAATCAATTAGTATTACATTATTTATTTTTGTTTTATATAAAAACTACCAACCTCATCAAAAAATGATTTTCCTGGATTACTTGAATTATTTAAACTTTTTAATACTACATTTTGAGCACCAAAATAACTAAATTCTTTTTTCTTTTCATCATAATCAATTATTCTTCCTCTTGTCCATGTAGCTTTATAAATTGAACTAAATCCACCTTCAGTTAATTTTGTTACATCTTCAAATTGCTCAAAAGGTACCCATTCTAAAATATAGCCTGGCAGAGATGATTTCATTTGGCATTGTTTAATAAAGTTATCAACTATGCCATTCCCAGATGTCCAATTATTAAAAAGACTCTGTAATTGTAAACTAATACAACCTTCACAGAATCTATCAGAATATTTTGTCAATTTACACTTGTTGCACTCTTTTGGATTACCAAATTTACTTATTACACTTTCTAATTCAAACCCATAAATAAACTTTTCTTTACAATATTCTTTTTCATTTTCAGAAAGCCTCCGATTTTTCTTGACTAATGAAAAAAAATAATCTTTCCTATTTTTCAATTAATTTGCTTTTTTTAATTTTGTTTATTAATTTTCATTTCTTAAAATATTTAATATTGTTGTGATATAAAGATCCCAAAAGGTAAAATCCATTAAAGTTGATTAATTTAATTCATTGATTACTCATTAAAATTATTTTGGTTGGATTAAAGGATACGTATCAACATATAAATTGATAGCAAATTCAATTTCATCTTCACCAAGAGCAGTGGGCGGTGCATTAAAAAACAATCCTTTTGCGCCTTTACCAATACCATGTCATAGAGTTATAGCTTCAAATTTTTTTATTGGTGGATTTAATGGTGAATGGTTTAACAACAACAACGACAACGATGACGACACTAACATTAATAATATAAATATAAAGAGAAAGTTTAAATTATTAGAAAAGGAAGGAATATTTTTTGACAAAGATGGTTGGTTAGTTCAACATCAAAGGTGCTCAAAAATATTTTCAAATTTTGATATTTCAAGATTAAATCTCAAATAAAGTGTCACCGGCTTGTAATATTTATAAAATACAAAATAATAATACATGTTTTATTATTTTTTACAATTGTCTATTTTTTTCCTACAACCTGGTATACTTCATAATCTAATAATTCCAATATAGTGTCATCCCAGAACCCCAAATCTTTTTCATAATTATATGAGTAAAAATAATAGCAATAAGGTTTATTTTCTAAATTATTTTGTAGTCTTAAATCACAGAAATCAAAAACGACTTCATGAGGTTGCTCATTTCCTCTTTGGTGATAATTATTCTTGATGCTAATTTTTTTTTTACCATGATGATATAATGAATATTTAGAATGTTGAGATCTACTCAACACTATATTATGACGATGATAATTATTATTAATATTATTATAACCAATTTTAAAAATAAAATTTTTATCTGTTTTAATAGGATAGTTATCAGTCAAGGATTTATTTCGTATATTCCAACTCATTGGATTATACCCGCCAAGCAATTCCCCTGTTCCTTTAATTTTAATAACTATCACTGTATTTTTAATATACTTGGTCAATTTATTAAAAACTGCATTGGAATATCCATCTTTGGATCCACGAAGTATCAAATTAAACTTATATGGTATGTTATTATGATCATATATTCTTTTTCTATAATCGATCCAACTCGAAATAAGTGAGAATGATCTCAGGTCTAACAATGAACTTTCTGGTTTTGGATCATTTTGAACAATCACAATTGAGTTAGATTTCCAATTATCTGTTACAAATTTTTGTTGAATATCATTGAACAGATCATCATCAAAAATTTTTTCATAAGGCTTAATTCGGCTATGAAAATCATATAAAGAAATTCCACAAAATCTTATCAATGGAAGAATATCACCCAATCCTAGTTTTATATTGATAAAATCATCATTACTCCATTCTGAAACATCTTTCTCCTCCTCCAATTCAAGATTTTGATCAATTCCCCATTTAATAACATTATTCCAAATACCTATTTCTTCAAAATCCAATTCATCTCTCTCTAATATTGATATTAACATAGATTCATCAATGGTCGTGAAATCATCCGAGTCAAAAAATGATTTTGGATCATCACAAATTATTTTAACACAACAGCATTGAAGTGCGGAAAATTGATCATGTCGTAATGAAGCTTTATAGGCACTAATTATATTATGTTTTTTGATTAAATATTCTTGTAAATCATCAAATAATTCATGTACACATAACTCATCACATGCTTCTAAAAGTTCAAGGATATCCTTTGGATCAATATTATTTGTCAGAACAAGCCCATTATAAAAATATCTTTTAATATAAATTCATTTTGTTAACAATTTATATATATATTAAGATTTTATTCAATCATTAATATTTGATAAAATTAACCAACTTACTCTAAAATAATTTCAAATATTTTTGGAGCAATATTCTTCTTTTCAAAAAAAATAGTGCCATTATCAGATCTCTTGAGCCAATTATTGGATAAAGCGGCGTTAAAATATGAAGATCTAGTTTTTAAAATGTTTGAATGAGCTCTGAACGTCTTAATATCTTGATCTTGTCCAATTTCAATTTCAACGTCATAAGAATCAGAATTTTTTAAAAGATTAGTAAAATCATTTAAAAGTTTGTTGATATATTTTAATGTGGTATCCTTATTTTTGTTATTTTGAGAATTCAATAATTTTTTAAGATTTCCTATAGGCAAAAGCATTTTTTTTTTCTTTTCGTTGGAAGAATTCTCCAAAGTTTTATAAATAGAATATTGTTTTGGCGTAACGTTGCATAATTACTAAATTGTCTCAAAAGAAGATTGTATAAGGTTTAGGCGATGAAGTTCTATAATAAACAATTAGTGCTAAAATCCTCAAATTTTGCAATTTTGGGAATAATATAGAGTCTAAATTATTCCTTTTCCTATTCATAAATGGTTAATTAAATGTGTATTGAACTTTTTTAAAATGAATTGAAAAGCTAAATCATGTTTGTATGAATAATATAAAATTCATAATTATCATGTGAATCTTTATCATTTATACAAGTGCTAATTTTTTTAACGAATTCAACACTACGAATAAGGTCACATCCTTGAAATCTAATTCATATTTGATGGCTGTTGAATCATCTAAGATAAAACCTAATAATTTTTACAATAAAGAAAATCCTGAAAATCCAGTTCAGTTGTAAATTTGGCGTAATTATATAATCCAAAAATTGATTCTATGCCATTTTGTCTAAATAAATCCTCATCTTTCATCAATAAGCAATTAAATAATATTTTGGTGATTCCTCCATAAAGTTGGAATATTGATATTATGCCATTGTTTATTAACAAGAATGCAAGAACACAATGTTCTGTAATCATATTCATCAGAATATTTAATATTTCAAGTATTAAAGTAGCGTTATGACACGTTAAGACCTTGTCCATTACAACCCCGTTTAAGAATTTGCATTACAGGTTGTTAACAGCTTACTATTATTATCATTTACTTTTGTATTCCTTTATTATATTTATCTTATATTCATTTTATCATTCAATCCCAATTTTATAATTAAGAAAAAATATATGTACACTACATGGTCAAAAATATTGCATAGTAAAAAACACAAAAAAATTATATCATTTTGTAAATTGGGTTTCCGTGATTATACGTGCAAAATTCTACTTCTGTGATATCTAAAAAAAATAATAAATAAAATTTGTCCAAAAATTTTTTCCAAAGATACACTAAGATTTTGACATGTAAAGAAAGATACACGCCTTAAATAAACATCTAAGTTGCTTTGAAGTTTTTAGTAAACAAATATCATTTTAATAAATTTTGAACAAGTCAGATTTAAGTGAAAACCAACACAATCGATTTTTATAATGATCTAAATTCAAAAATATCAAAAATTCACGATATTCATAAAATCACAGTTTCTCGTCCTCAGAGCCTTGAAGTGATCGTCCTAATTAATAAATAAAGAAAGCCAACAAATTCAACGAAATAATGTTTCGATCAAGACTGTCAGAAGAACTTTGTATGAACTGAATCTCTTTTCTCGCGTTCCTGCTGCAAAACCACTTCTAAACGATCAACAAAAACAAAAATGATTAAATTGGCATCTCTAGAGAAGGAATTGGACAGTTGGAAAATGAAAGTCTGTTGTTTAGAGTATATTAACAATATTTAAAATATTGGACTAGGACGCGTTTGGAGAACCCCTGGTACTAGATTTAAATGAACATAAAGTTTTTCGAGCATTGTTTTACTTGTGTTGAAATTTAAATAGTTTATATCAGTGTTGGAAATTCAGGGTGCGCGCGCAGCATGTTACACCAAAATTGTGAAACATTTTATGTACAGTGCCGGTCACAAGTACACATCCAATTGTTTCAATTTTAAAATTTTGATGATCTTTCCAAAATAAGCAATA